TTACTCTAACTGGGGTTTTGTTCTACTGATGGTGATGTATCTCGATTTGCTTATAGCTATCTCTATCTATCTTTCACTACTGACAACAATCAAGGATCGCTGAAGAACTTCAGCGATCTTCTCAGCTAATATTATCTACTCCTCCTAGACGTTCATCCAACCCTCTCGCGCTTTGACGTACTTCAACGTACTTCGTCCAACTTCCCCGAGTCCTCGGCCATCCTCTTCCTCCTTCGACTAACTCCGCCTAACATCGCCGCACTTCTGCTCCCATTGTCCCTACCTAGCCTAACTCCGTCTAACTTCGCCGTACTTCTGCTCCCATTGTCCCTACTTAGCCTAACTCCGTCTAACTTTGCCTTACTTGGTCTCAGAAGTCCTGAGTTACATGTAGAGTAAAGAGGTTAAGGCGTGATGGGGTTTTGATGGTCAAAGGAGGGTCATTGTTGGTGGAGTAATCGAGGTGTCACGACGTAGTTCGTGACACATTGTCCCTACCTAGCCTAACTCCGTCTAACTTCGCCGTACTTCTGCTCCCATTGTCCCTACTTAGCCTAACTCCGTCTAACTTTGCCGTACTTGGTCTCAGAAGTCCTGAGTTACGTGTAGAGTAAAGAGGTTAAGGCGTGATGGGGTTTTGATGGTCAAAGGAGGGTCATTGTTGGTGGAGTAATCGAGGTGTCACGACGTAGTTCGTGACATTGTAACCATGAGGGTTGGTCTCCTTCATCCATGCCCAAGTAAGGGAGTACCCAGCGATAGGCTTCATCCTTGAGCAGATTGGTAGCAAAAGCTATACAAGTGATGTCGGTGGAGTAGGTACGAGGTTGAACAGTGAAGACCATATTGCACTTGGCCAAGAACTCCAAAGTCTGATCCTTACGGCCAGTAAAAGGCGGTGGATGAGAGATTTTAGGTTCCTTGACATGCTCAGGTCTGATGTTTGTTGAAGTTTGAAGAGCATTGATTTGAGCCTGAAGCTGATGGATCATGTCCTGTTGAGCTTGGAAGGCTTGCTCTGCAGTAAGGTGGGTGGTGTTGTTGTTTTCAGACATGATGATTTAATCTGTAAGTCAACAAAGATTCTTGAATTTGTATGATATTTCTGAAGTTTTGTAATGTTTTTGGAGTTTTGATAATGTTCTTGAGTTTTTATTATGTTGGGTTTGAAAAGGAACAAGAAAAATAGCTTAGACCAAGTTATATTTGTTGAAGGAATACTTCAAAAAAGTTTTATAATGTTTGAGATGTTGATGGTGTTGAGCACCTAAGTGATGGTGACGAAGGGTGGTATGATGATGTTGACCAAAGGAGTGATGATGTTGACCCTAGGTATGATCACAGCAAGTGTGTTGAGTGATATTGAAAAGTCTTGAGTTCGAATCCTGGTGGTGACAAAATATTTTTGCACAAGTGTAATTGACCTTGAGTGTTGACCTTGGGTGACCGTGGGAGAATTCTGAGGTGGGTGGCAAATTCTTTCAAGTTGGGTGGCAAATGATGACAAAGCGTGTTGTGATGACAAAAAAGGGTGTTTTGTTGACCTTGAGTGACCTTGAGGGACTATGGGAAGTCCTGTTGTTGACCTTGAGAGAACTGTGAAAAGTTCTAGTGTTGACCTTGAGGGATTATGAAAAATCCAGAAGTGGGTGGCAAATGATGTCGAGAGGTGTTGTGATGACGAGCAAGGACTAAAGAGTGTTGAGCAATGTATACTGTCACGCCTGCGGGTAGACTGCGGTTGCAAAGTACTGCCTTGGGTACTGAAGGGTTTTAGTCTCTGGCTCGTAGAGCTTGATGACTGCCTTAGGTACTGAGGGTACTGAGGTGTTGGGTTAGAACCAACTAGGTGACTTTCAAAGATGAAGTTCAACTTCAAGATGAAGATACATTGCTGAAGAAAGAGGGGGGAGATGTGCTCCTTTTATACCCTTCAAAACTAAAGTAGGTGTACTAAATAAAAAGCGTGTGAGGGATTTTCTAGCCAATCACATAAATGCCTCAAAGTGAGTGCACCGCGGGAAACTAAATCCAGCCAATCACATAAATGCCTCACTGCTAAACTGCTGAACCTTCCAGGCTTCAGCCAATCACGTAAATGCCTCACTGCTGAACTGCTAAATACCATGACTCATATTTTCCTTCAATCCTTATCACAGTTCCTAGCATGAGTCATATTTCCTTATCACTATTCTGAGCATGAGTCAGAATTCCTTATCTGTCACAATCGTCGTTTCTTCTTCTCTACTGACCGACGGTCGACAAACCTCGGCTAACTACGTCGTAGTGGGGCGTCGATGTCTCACTAAGACAGGGTACTCGTCGAGGAACTACGGCTAACTTCGCCGTAGTAATACGTCGAGTGGTGAATGATAAGATGATCGTCGATGAACTACGGCTAACTTCGCCGTAGTACGTTGAACTGCTCGGTGGTAGCTCTCCTTAACTCGAAGGTTGTAGCTACTGAATATATCTCTCGCTACTGACAACAATCAAGGATCGCTGAAGAAGTTCAGCGATCTGTAAACTATCTATACTACTCCTCTCTTCTCGTAGAATGTCCCTCAACTCCTGCACTGCCTCACGCTCAGTCCTCTTTGTTCAACTTCGCCGTACCTCGCCATATCCCCGATATCCTACTCCGCTCACTTTGACTAACTTCGCCTAACTTCCCCTGTTCTGCTCTCCCTCGGTTCCCTTCCCCTAACTTCGCCGTAGTTCCCCGCTAGGCGGGGTTATCGTGACAAATCCCCTCTTGGTTCTCGTAACTTAGCCGTAGTTGGTCTCAGTGGTTCGAGTGGAGGTTGGTAGTGGTGAAAGGAAGGTCGGTGATGGTGAAAGGAGGGTTGGTGATGGTGGTTGTCAGGGATGTTACGACGTAGTTCGTGACATTATCACTATTCATGACACAGTATTGAGAGAACATCCATGTTCAGCTGCTACCTCCCGATAGGTGGAAGTCAACGCTTTTTGAGCAATTCTTGCACGTGTCACGGTTGAAAAACATTTGCCAGGCATGATTGAACACTCAGGAAGAAGACCAGATTAAGTAGAGAACATGAGATGATCCCTGCATGCGACAAAACAGGTAAACATAAGTACGCGACATGAAACTGATGGACACGATCAAGGTACGATTTTGTTCGATCCTTTCCCGCACCCCACTGTAGTTAGAGTAACTACATCGAAGTACGTCGTAGTTACAATCCTTTTGACGTCTGCACCCTCCTGGTTGGGTGAGACATCGACTTTGAAGCGTCAAGTTAGCCGAGGTTCGTCGACCGTCGGTCTGTTAGAGAGTGGTTGTTAGACGGCTGTGACACTATTGTAGGGAACCTTGGGACACATCATTTCACAGGTAGGACGGTACTTGAGAGGCTCCGGGGGATTGAGGCGGCAGCAGAACAGAGGGAAAAGGGGAAACAGAAGAACAAAGGAGGGACCGAAGGAAGGGAGGATCACACGGAAGAAAGGGAGGTGTCACAAAGCGTGTGACAAGTCGAGCGAAAGTCGGGGAAGGGTATTTAACCAGTGATCGGCGGTAGGGTTAACCGCCGATTAATAGGCCTTTTCGTCGCAGTGGTTAACATCACTGTTCCGTTGGGCACTGTTATATCGTGCATATGCTGGTCAGTATGTCTTGTGACAGATTAATCGGCGGTTGCGGGTAGGATCCTGGGTTCGACTCCCCGGACGGCGCCGGGGGTAACCCAGGCCCTACTTGGAAAACCTCCCTCTCGGAGTAAGTTTTCAGTCTATCGTACCCTTCCCAAGTGTGGGGGCCCAAGCGGGGTCTCCTTGTCGGGGCCCCAAAGTGGGGGCCCAAGAGAGTGCATAATTGTTGGAAACCACTGTGCAAAAGTTAGGCGCGCCCCTTAGGACAATTTCCTATTGCACTTCAACACCCCCCTCAATAGATATTGTCCTAAGCGCGACGGCTTGGACCTGTCGTTTCTCTGGGTGTGAGGTTCGAACCCACGACTTTCGTGCCAAACTAGGCTGAGGCAGGGCTGTTGTACAGATATTTTCTGATTCCAAATCTGTTGAAGTTCACGATCTAGTATGGATTCATAAGATCTTCAAGAACTATCTAGAAGAACTATCTAGATATATATCATACAGGGGATACGTAGTCCTTAGTCATCTTTCCCACGCTCTAACTCCTAATAACACCGCAGTGTGGCGGGTCACCATTCAACAATAATGTCACAAAGTGTGTGACAAGTCGAGCGAAAGTCGGGGAAGGGTATTTAACCAGCGATCGGCGGTAGGGTTAACCGCCGATTAATAGGCCTTTTCGTCGCAGTGGTTAACATCACTGTTCCGTTGGGCACTGTTATATCGTGCATATGCTGGTCAGTATGTCTCGTGACAGGAGGATCACACGGAAGGGGATGCGCCGGAAACGATAACATTGGTGATAGAACAAGCAGGAGGCATATTAGAGGTATTGGAGGGTAGCCAGGGGCCAAGTACTGTCAGTTGCATCATTTTATGTGTGTAGGTAGCATATTGAATGCATGACATGCGTTCTTGTGATGTGTATACAATCTGTGGAAGAAATGATCAATGACCGGGTGTGACCAAGTTCCGGGTGAGCGACCTTACATCGAACGTCGCCTGATGTATCAGAGAGACGTTTTGAAGGGGACATTCCAACTCCGAACAAATTTCTCACCACTACACCAAATTCTTCTTTCCCATGACGTCTACCTAATGGAAGAACCGACGTCATGATCGCGAGCTCCCCATTCTCTCAACGATATCGTCACCGTCCTACCTACGAGGACACCGCCCGGACCATGATGCCTTCCCCATGTCATCATACTTTCCCCACACTTTCTTGGTATATCTCTGCCAAGCAGTGATCTAGGACAAAAGAGATACACATCTTCTCACAGGACTTGAAGGTGCATATTTTCAAGTGGCCAACATTTTAGCTTATAAACTCCTGACCTCTAGTTTCTTGACATCAAATAATTTCAACCCACATACTCACAATGTTGTTAACAGGCTACAACGAAGACATTGAGGAATTTCCCTCTCTCAAGGGAGACAGAGCTGACAACCTGAAAGACCAAAGCATTGGGGACGTCATTTCTGTCAATGACAATGACAATGACAACGCCACAAGAGACATCAGCATCAGCGAAATAGACTCAAGCAGTTCAGCTGACTTTGGGTTGAACTGTGATGCTCCCCATTCTACGTCCAACGTGACCGCCTCGAGTGAAACGGCCCCACTTCTACTGGGTGACTTCATTGCTCCTATTACTTATGAGCACCTGCAGACCACGACAGCTGAGACGCCAGTGGTGTTAGCCGATAGAATCGGGCCAGGACGGCCGAACCGCCGTTAGATAATTACCCCTTCCGTCAAATATTTCTCCGTTCAACTTATCCTCTGAACTTTATTCGATCGTCTCTGGTATTAGGCGTGTGAGTGGAATGTGATAAGTATAGAGACATGTAGAATTGATGCATGCTCTTTTTCCCCTCTGTATTATCATCTAATTATAAGCGTTAACAAGTGGGAGCAAAGTTTCCTGACATTGATTATGTTGTAAATCCGCCAATTATTCAAAGATGTACCACTCAGCCACAAGGTGGCCCTTGGGTCATTTATGGCAGTCAGTGGAAGGTGCAACTCAAGGACGCACCAGAGTCCAAGTATACACAAGGGTCCAAGGATACCCAGAGGTTGACCGTCCATTTTGATTCGACTTATGATGTTCATGCTGGAGATGAATTTATCAGAAAGCAGCTTGCTGGACTACTAAAGGAGATGACTGGTGAAATGAGTGAGACAAGCCCATTGATCCAGTCAGCCAAGCAAAAGCAGTTGGAGATTTGCGGGAAATTAAACAGCATGACTGTTGATGAGCTGACTGAGTTGTGCGGAAATTCGTGTCGTAAACAAACAGCTTTCCTAGATGGTGCTTCATGGGCCAGAGATGTCGCACAACTCCTGGAAAGAAGACTGCAAGAGGTGGAGCCGTGGACGCAAGTGTTGACTTACAATCCAGAAAGGTCACAAGAGTACCGAGAAGCATTGCACATTTACGGAACCAATGTCCCAAACGGTTGGAACTTTGAGCAGGGTCGCCTTTGATGCTCTCCACGCATGCAATACTTGATGAAGCCAAATACTGTTAGATGGAATTGTAACGGTACTGGAAACACGACGACTAGGTCGCAGGTTGGGTCGAACTCGATGGAGGTCTCGTGGAAGTCTAGGGGCTCTGGTGCTAATGGATCGTGTCTCCTCTGCAATCGTTGTAGCCAAAGAATGATATTGAAGAATCAGCAAAGTTGGTACTTTGCTGATTGTACTATATACTGTCTACAGGTATCCGTCTCCTCTTCTCAGTCCTACTGCAAGCGTCCATGTACATACTCGGACAGGTGAAAAACCGCTTTGAGCAAACCCAGTGGGGAAAATCTCGAAAGGGGAAAACCCGTCCCTACCTACTGCAGCACTGCCTCCAACTCCCGCTTTCCTCTGTCCTAATCCGTCGAACTCGATAGAGTTCCCTCGATTCGTTGTTACCCCGTAACAAGTTTCCCCCCCTGTCTCAAGGATCCTCGCCGAGGATCCTGAACCCTGTAACTGGATTGTTCTTAGACACCTTTGGTGCGCCCTGACATCATACCCACGCTAGTGTGATGGTTGCCATGAAAACGCGTCACCCGCACGGACCTCCAATGTGATCGAGAAATTACTGACCAAGTTACCTCCCCGTCTTTTTTCTCTTCTTTCCTCCTCATTCTCTCTTTACCTCTTGTTTGTCATTCTTTTTACTCATCTATCATTATCCATCCATATCTTACTCATATCTTAGAGCATCCTTCCAACTCTGACCTGTCTGTGAGCATGTCTAAGCGTACTGTAAGCAATTCTCTTCGAATTCAATGCACTTCCTCCTGTTTATCACTGGCTGACGAGATTAGTTGTCCTCGTCTATCTCTTCTCGTCAAACTCGGGCCTCTACTGTGGCCATTCTCCCCGACGTCGATCCCGAACTTCTCATGCGTCAAACGAAAAGAATGAGAATTACTTCCCAAGCGCCAGTTCCCTCTCAAACTCCATTGGTTGACGCTTCTCGAAGGGCTCTCGACACCATTAAGGATCGATATCAATCCGGCCCTTCTCGCGACCAACAATCGTCTCTTCTCGATGACGAGGTCATCGAGCAATATATCAACTTCGAAGCGGGGGCAGGGCCATCTACCACTGGTGAGAACCCATCTCCTGCGAAATCTGTCGAGTCCGAACACGGTACCATCGTTGAAAATCAAAATTCTCCTGGTAATAAGTCCCCTGTGCCACCTTCTGATTCCGAGGGGCTTGTCGAGGTTCCCCATGAACTCGAAACCATTTTTCACGCCCCTCGCAAGGTTCCGGTCAATGATGAACTTGCTAAGGCTCTGGATGCTCGAAAAGACTCGGAAATTGGTGAGATTTCTACAGAATTCTGTGCGTTTCTGACTCGTCAGCTACCCTCTGGGCCCGCCTTTCTTTCTCCTCTGTTCGTCACGCTCTGAAGGATGAAGCCCTCGATCGCTTTCGCGAGACTGGGGCCATCAAGCCCACTGTCAAGTGGTTTGGTAACGCCGTGAGCTTTTTCTCCTTCGTATTCCACCGAATTCTAACTGTTAGCTTGATCGCTTGGCCCAAGGTTGGCGACTTCGTAACAAGAATGGCGCTGTTGTCCGTCTCGAGGGTGAGCTTTGCTCCGATTGCCAGCGTCGTCTCGATGGTGGAGAAGATTTTCGTGTAGGTTGTATCGGTCCTCGTGAGCCTTCCTACTCTTCCTGTTCGATATTGATGCAACTTAGTTGGTGGTGTTTGTGGAGAGTGCTCCGCGAAGGGAACTTCAAAGTGTTCGGTGAAAACCAACAATCCCGAGTCCAAATTTCGCGAGGTATCTATCTTCTTCCTTCGAACTTGGTCGATGTTGATGTAAAGGGTATTACTGTCGGAGCCCAGACTGTTACTTCCAAGGTTACCTTCGTCCTGGAGCACGAACTCTGTGCTGTCTCGGCCCGATATCGATCCCTTTCCTCCCAGGATCAATCCTCTTCTCTCACCCAACTCTCCGCTTACATCCACCTCTTTTCCTCTCTCCTTCTTCCTCTTCCCCCAGTACATCTGGGCCTCTACAAATCTCTTCATCTCATTCCTTCCAACTACACCCCTCCCTCTCCTTCTGAAACCTTGGATCATCTCACCTCTGCTGCTGATCCAACCGGATTGACTTCTTCTCAACCAGTCGCCGGTCCCTCCTCTTCTCCCCATACTCCTCTCCCCCGCAATGTCATTCGTATTCCCGCCTCGGTCCGTCGTCCCCGAGCCAATTCTACCACCTCCAACTTCTAGTGTATTTTATATCTCTCTATACGTAGCCATATTTCCTGTGTATGTATTTATTTCCCAATAAATTCCGTTGATTTTGATCGAATTCTCACTTTCTTCTGGGATCTTTTTTCCTCTTTTCCAGAAATTCACCAAAAACGGCCAACTCTTCTACATTTTCTCGTGGTTCCCAGTCATAGGCCGCATTCCCTGTGTATCCTAACCATTTTACCTTGAATTCCTCCTTTCCTCGTCGAATTCTACTGTCCACAATTGCTTCCACATGGAATTCCTCCTGGCCGTTTATTACTACAGGTGGTGGGGGTTGTATCTGTCGACCTGGTATCATGTCTCTAGGATATGGTTCCAACAACGTGACATTGAAGACATTGTGCACTCTCATTGATGGAGGTAGATCTAATTCGAAAGCATTTTTCCCCACTCTCCTTATGATCTTGAAGGGGCCAACGTATTTTGCTTCTAATTTTCGACTGGGTCTTTCCGTCGTAAGATACTTCGTACTCAGTAGTACCTGTTCTCCCTCTCTGAATTCTTCTGGTACACTCTTGTGTCTCCTGTTGTAGTATTCGGCACTAATCTCATTAGCCATCCTGACCTGTTCTTGAACAGCCGCATGTAACTCTCCCATATCCCTCCATTTCCTCTCCAACTTGTTTGACTTTGATCGAATATCGTGCGAATGGATGTCGTAGTGTGGCACATAGCCGTAACAGGCTTCAAAGGGACACAGACCGTGGCTACTATGTGGCGAACAGTTATAAGCGAACTCAGCAATTGGTAGAAGTTGATCCCAATTGTCCATGTTGTAGTTTACATACATTCCGAGCAGGATTTCCATCTGTTGATTTACTCGCTCAGTTTGTCCATCTGTTTGAGGGTGATACGCAGTCGAGTATAAGTTCTTTATTCCCAAGAACTGACATATTTCCTTCCAAATTTCCGCCGTAAACTGAGTTCCCCTATCTGACACAATTGTTCGAGGTACTCCATGTTTTGAAAAGATCTCCTTGATGTAGATGTCGGCCACTTTGTTCGCTGTTAGTCCAGTTGTACATGGAATAAATCTAGCCATCTTGGTTAGTCGATCGACTATCACCAGTATCGCGTCGAACTCGGTCGATTTTGGTAGGGGTCCCACCATATCCATAGAGATATCTGTCCAGGGCAGTGTGGGTACTGGTAAAGAGACCAGATGTCCATACGGCTGGTGTCGATGAGTCTTGTGTCGGTTACAGATCTCGCATCCTTTTACGTATTTTGCAATATACTCGTCCAAATGTGGCCAGTAATAGTCCTCTTTGACCATGGTGATAGTTTTGTCTCTTCCTGGATGACCCACTAGCATCGAATCGTGTCTTGCTTTCATTACTTCTAATCTTGCCTGTCCCTCTGGTATGACTACTCTGTTTTTGTATAAGAGTAATCCGCTCTGTGTCCATGATACTATTGGTGTCTCGCTGCTAGCCTGTGTCTTCTGTGTGTCCTGTGTGTTCTGGGTGCTCTGTGTGCTCTGTGTGCTATGTGTCTGTGTCATCTGTAGTCCTAGTTGTCGTATGTTTGCTATGTCTTCTGAGTCTTTCAGTCCGTTCTTGATGAGTCCGAATAATGAGTCTTCCCGGATTGCTCCTCTTACTATGTGTCTTGGTCCTTTGTGTTCTGAGTCCATTGAATTCGATCCAATTTGTTCGTGTGTCGGTAGCAATTGTAGCCAGTTGCCTTTGTTAAGATTCGGGTCCTTGCTACTCCCTCTTCCCGGATGATAATCTCCTCGTCTCGTCAGAGCATCTGCTCCCCCATTTTTGCTCCCTGGTCGATAAGTGATCTCTATGTTGAAGTCTCCCAATATTTCCAACCATCTCATCTGCCTTCGATTTAGTTGTCGTTTGCTTTGGAAGTATTCTAGGTTCTTGTGATCGGTAATGACCTTTATAACATCACTACTGTTAGCCAAGTAGGGTCTCCAGGCGACCAAGCAATCCACGATGGCTAATAATTCTTTCTCTCCCACCGTGTAGTTTAGCTCACAGGGCGTCATTGCTCGAGACCAGTACGCTACTGGGTGAAGTTCGGTGGTTCCTTTTATTGATGGGTGAGGAAATCTCTGAGACGCTATCGCACCTATCGCGCAATCGGATCCATCGGTTTCAATCCAAGTCGGTCGGGTTCTATCAAAATGTCGAAGTACTGGTGCTGTGGTGAATGTTTTCTTTAGATCGTCAAAAGCCTTTTGGCATTCTTGTGTCCAGTTCCAAGCTTGATCCTTCCTAGTCAATCGTGTGAGAGGTCCCACAATATGCGAAAACCCCTTGATAAACCTCCGATAGAAATTCGCAAAACCCAAGAACACTTGAGTATCCCGGACTGTCATGGGTTCTCCCCATTCTAGAATAGCTTTCACCTTTTCTTGATCCATTTCGATCCGTTCGTGTCCTATTACGTACCCCAGGAACTTCACTTCATTTGAACTCCATTCGCATTTCCTCGGACTGACGACCAAATCGTTTTCAAGTAGCCGATCTAACACCTTTTGGACAATGATCTGATGGTTTTCGATCGTGTCGGAGTATACCGTGATGTCGTCGATATAAACTACTACCCCTTCGTCAAGTAGATCGTGAAACATGTCTTGTAGAAAGTTCTGAAAGGTGGCTGGTGCATTACACAACCCATCCCTTAGGACTGTGCTCTCGAAACTGCCGTATCTTGTTCGTAAGGCAGCTTTATGTTCATCTCCTTCCTTTATTCTGACTAACTGGTAAGCCCCTTTCAAATCGAGTTTAGTGAAGATCCTTCCTAATTGAAGTCGATCGAGTAGTGTCGAGATGAGTGGCATTGGGTATGAATCCTTGATGGTTACCTTGTTAAGTGCCCGGTAATCTGTAACTACTCGATAGGGAATGACTCCTTTCTTGGGGACCAGGAATACTGGGGACCCATAGGGCGATTTACTTCTTCGCAGATGTCCACTAGTCAGTCCATCATTGATCCACTGCTTCAGGAAAGCATCCCCATGCTCGTCCAGTTGGTAAATTGGTCCTGGTTTTAGTTCAGCCCCTGCTACTAATTCGATTTCGTGGTCACATTCTCTTCTTGGTGGTAGTCTTCTTGCTCTTTCTACCTTGAATAATTCGAGGTATTGGTGCCATTGTGTCGGTATGATTTGTCGCAGTTCCTCCTCACTCATTTCGTCCTCCCCTTTCTCCAGTGTTGCTCCTCTTATTAATCCTTCTTCTAATCTTGGGTATTTCCAACCAGTATCTTGTCCAATTCCGTCGAATTCGATCAGTCCCTTTCCACAATCGATCCTTGCCCTAAACTGTCTCAAGAAATCTAGTCCTACTAGTACTTCTGGTCCTTCGTATGCCATAACATCCAGTCGAGTTGCAATCCTGAGTCCTTTTCCTAGATCTAATTCTGCTTCTACATATTCGGTCACTAAGGTCGCGGTAGTTCCATCCAGGAACCTAATTTTTCGTGGTACCTGATATTGTTTCTTTGGGAATAGATGGTATAATGGACAGGCCGGCTGCACATACCTTCCTGTAGCCCCGGTATCGATTAACATTCCAATCTGTAGGGTATCTTTCTTTGTTTGTATTTTTATATATATTATGGCCGAGTCATTACTGAGATCTATTGGTATTTGAATTCTCTGCGATCCGGGCAGATCCTGGCCGCAAGTGGTCGCATCACTTAGGCCAGGTAGTCGTTTCCCTCTTCTTCAAAGGTCACCGCCATTCCTCGAACTAATGGCCCTTTGGACCCAGTTGGGATCGAGTTCGATCCACTAGGAATCGGTGAGCTATGCGGGTTTGGGGATCCCCTAATGTTGTTTCTCGTATTTCCTCCATTTGGACAGTTGTTGGCGTAATGTTCTGGACTTCTACATTTGAGACAACGTCGGTTCTCCCTCCTCCAAGTCATTTCGTTCTCGCTGAGACGTCCTCCGTCCTCTGTCCAAGTGACCGGAGGGTCATTTGGTAGACCATAATTCATCATCCCTGGTTTTCCACCGGGCAAGGGTCCTCTACCAGTCGATTGTGAGTAGCGTTCTACCGGGTTGGGCAAACTAGTATCCAATCGCATCGAATTCGATCGAGGGGGAAGCCAGGTCGTCTCATGTTTGCGTCTAGCAGCCCATCGATTCGCTGCAATCATCGTTTCAGCCATCCGTTGGTTCTCCTCAGTCCCTATCACATGCTGTTTGAAATAGATCCAGTCCGATTTGGTTCGAGGGTCGGTGTTATTTACCACTACCACCTTCAGTAGCTCTTCCTTCAGGCCCTGTATGGCTGAGGCGATTTTCATTGCATCTGGTACCTTTCCAAGGTGTGTGGACCAAAGTTCGAAGTTGGCAAAATACTCGGCGGCCGTATCAGTCTGTCTTAACTCTTGCAATTTCCTCATAGCCGTACCTGCCATGTTACTATCTCCAAATTGAGTTCGTAAATGCTGAATGAATTTGTCGTAGCTCTCTAGCCATTCGGTCGAATTCCATATACTTGGATTGGTTATGGCCGGGGTTATAAGCATTTGAGGGGTGCCTCGAAGATACCCGTACATGAACAGGATCTTTCTGCGATCGGTGGCGTACTCTGCCCCTTTGAATTCGAAGTTCATGTGACATGCTGCAAGGAAGTTGTCCAATTCTCCTCGTTCTCCACTGAAGGTAGGTGGATCCGCACACCTGGTTCTTCCTGTTCGTTCGTTGTTGGTAAGTTTTGGCTCCAAACACGGCTTGTTTTCTTCGACTTCGATCAAACTTGCCCCTTTCGATGTGAGTATCTGTTGGTTCTGTCGGTCAGCTTTCATCGTAGCCAGTTCTTCCCTTAATGTATTTTGTTCCTTTTGTTGCATCGTCATAATGGCTAACAATTGTGACAACTGCTGCGATAATTCATTTAGCGGATCTGGGGTAGTGGTAGTAGAAGTGAGATCATGTGAAATGGTACTTCTCGAAGAACTTGTTGGTATTTCTTCCTCTGGGACCAGCCCTTGTTCCA